ATTATCATTATTATTATTATCATTATTATTATTATCATTATTAATACCCAAATCGCCTGCCCAGTGGCTGGAGGCTAACACATACTTCCAGCTTCATCTAAAATCACTACCAGGAAACGACAATCTTGATGACTTTGTTGACGCGTTTCAATCTACAATCTATGGCTACTTTGCCCAGAATTATGGCACCATCAAATACAAATCACAAACTGATCTACCTGCTGACACAAACAAATCGGTCAAGGAACTAAAAAAAGAGCTTAAGCAACTAAAAATATTAGGCCAACACAACCACAACTTCGACAACCAGATCATCAACACCAGTAAGACCCTTCGTTCTAAACTACTGTCAATAAAACTTTCTAAACATAAAGGGAAAAAATCCACAATCACCACTCAACTAAAACAACAATTCTGGTGGGCATGCAAGAAAATATTTGCAACAACAAAAAACATGACACCACTATTCAGCTCGATCGATTGTTAAAAATATTTCTTCAATATTCTAAACAACATCAACAACAAGAAATATCAACTCCCTATTTGGGCACAAAACGCAACAGCGCCCACAACGCCCTGCAACGTCAATCCTCCTACCTACCACGAAATATCTGCAATAATCCACAAATACAGATCAAAATCATCACCATGTCCGCTAGATCAGATCTCAATTATTCCATTTAAAAGATGTCCTACATTGCGCACCTTTCTCCACAAATTGTTTACGCAATGTTGGTTGTCCTATAGAATCCCATCATGCTGGAAGAAAGGTTTCACATTGCTTATTCACAAAAAAGGTGACGCACATGATCCGGCCAACTTCCGACCTATAACACTTCAACCTACGCTCTAATAAATATTTTCATCCTGCATTAACAACAAAATGTACAACTTTTTAGAATCAAACAACCTCATCAATAAAAACATCCAAAAAGGTTTTTATCCGAAGGTGGACGGACCGAACTTACCCAGCTTTTATCACACATGATCAATGACGCTAAAAGACATCAAAGAACAATAATTGTCATTTTGTTGGATCATAAAAACGCTTTCAGCGAGGTCAGCCACGACCTAATCTCATCCACTTTAGACCATCATCATATACCGCCAATGATCGCTGATTTAATAAAATTCACATACGCCGACTACACCATATCAGTTTCGGGTTGCGATCAACTTACACCTCCTATCCGGGTCAAACGTGGCGTGCTCCAAGGGGACCCTCTTTCGCCTCTGCTGTTCAATTTGTGCTTCAATCCTTTAATGAAAATACTGGAAAAGCCTGAATATCAACAATGCGGCTACATTTGGAGACCTACAGCCAACTTGAAAACGAGAGCATGGATGCAGTTTGCCGATGATACGTCAATTATTGCTAACAGCACGGAAAGTGGTGTAACAAAACTGGTATGAAAATAAGATTAGATAAATGCTCATCATTCGGCATGAGGAAAAAAAATGGTGTTTACGAACAGTTCCTTCCAAAGCTGACCATAGACGATGGAACTATTCCTCAAGTCGAAATAGAGGGGCACTTCATATACCTTGGCAAAATATACGACTTTGAAGGAAAGGGCACAGAAGCCAAGAAACTGCTAATCGGTAAATTAAAAGGTTTGTTGTCGGTGATCGGCGAACTAGATACGTCAGCACAATGGAAGCTCCAAATTTTAAGACGATACATACCATCACGACTGGCTTTTGAGCTTAGGACATATTGAAATCCCGGAGCTCACGGTTTGCCATGAAACCAACTTTCTGAAATCAAAGGACTATAAAATGGCGAAGTATCCCCATAATTTGCAAAATAATTTGACTAATAATTATAAACACTCTAACGTTACAATTAATACATTTGAAATATCCCCTTTAGGTTTTTTTAATACTTTTGATTTGTCTTTTATTAATTTAATATGGACTGATGATTTTATCAACAACCTTATTTATACAACAATTTCATCGTCATATAGTATTTACTGTGATAGAAATGCAAATTGAATGAACCATTTAGGACTAACCTTCTCTCGTTGTACACATCCTTTTTATAAGATGACGATGACGAGCTTCGGAGATTATTTCAAGACGTTTTACTATATACATATATATATTAATTTTGATTATCATTGACAATTATTGTTTTTTTTCCATGTACGTTTTTACGATGAAAATAAAAAGGTGTTATTATTATTATTATTACCATTATCATTATCATTATAATTGTTATCATCATTATTATTATCATTATTAGTAGTAGTAGTAGTAGTTATTTGTATTATTATTATTATTATTGTTGTTGTTGTTGTTATCACCATCATTATTATTGTTACTGCATTATTATTTTCATAACAATAAAATTTATTATTGTTATTATTGTTATTGTTGTTATTGTTGTTAATGTTGTTATTGTTGTTATTGTTGTGATTGTTGTTATTTTTGTTAATGTTGTTATTGTTGTTAATGTTGTTATTATTGTTATTGTTGTGATTGTTGTGATTGTTGAGATTGTTATTATTATTGTTATTGTTGTTATTGTTGTGATTGTTGTGATTGTTGTGATTGTTGTTATTGTTGTTATTGTTGTTATTGTGATTGTTGTTATTGTTGTGATTGTTGTGATTATTGTTGTTATGTTGTGATTGTTGTTACTGTTGTGATTGTTGTGATTGTTGTTATTGTTGTCGTCATCTCGCTTTGTTATTGTCTTCCGTCATTCCGTGCTGGTTTTTTAACCTATTTTCATTTCCCATTCAATCTACGGTGCTATTAATAATAGCAACAACAACATAAAAACAATAATAATAATATTCATAATAATAATTATAAAATAACAATAATCATAATCATAATAATGATGATGATGATAATAATAATAAAATAACAATAATCATAATAACAATGATTTTGATAAAAATAATAATAATAATCATAATAATAATCATAATAATAATAATAACAATAATCATCATAATAATAAAATCATAATATTTATTGTTATTAATATTTTACATTGAGATTTTTTCATTAATGAGATTGTCATTAGACGAAGTATTATTGCATTATGTGTACAAATATCAGCAATGATTGTGATATTACTGTTATTATTATTATCATCATTATCATTATCATTATTATTATTATTATTATTATTGTTATTATTATTGTTGTTGTTGTTGTTGTTGCTACCATCATTTTCATGGTTGTTGTTTAATTGCTCTGCATAAAAATTTCCCTTCTTCGACGTCCACGCGATGATTCAAATTTGGAAATAATTAAAAATTAATACACACACATACACACGCACACACATACACACACACATGCACACACACACATACACACACATACACACGCGCACACATACACACACAGACACATAAGCAGACCAAGTGCTGTTATTATTAATCCTAACTGTCATAATGTAGACAAAGCAATGATTTTTTTCATGCCGCATTCGGCAGTAGCTGATAGCCCCGCTATAGTTATAGTTATTATTGCTACATATAGTAAAGAGTTATTAAATCATGCTAAGTTTGATAAGAATGAGTAGAATCGAATCAATAGAAATACCCCAGCAGTTACCAATGTTGATGAGTGAACTAGGGCAGATATAGCTGCAGGTAGCCACCTACTAAATGGTATTTGGGCTCTCTTTGTTAGTGCGGCAGTAGTGATTATTAATACTTGAATTCAAAAGTAGTCATCAAATACTCACATAGATATCACATTTCAGTGGCCTTGATTTAGTGTTATACCAATTGATAGGAGAATTATTACATCCCCAATACGATTTGTTATAGCTGTAATTATGCCTGCAGCCAAAGATTTAGAGTTTTGGTAGTAGATAACTAAGATGAATGACACAATACCCAACCCATCTCACCCTAATAACATGATGATTATATTTGGAATATAGATTAAAAGATTTATAGACAACACAAATAACAGTACTAAAATAGTAAATCGGTCAACAAATTTATCTTCTTTTATATAAAGGTTGGAAAAAAATAGTACATTACCTGAAATAAATAATACAGCAGCAGAAAACAATACCCCTTTTATATCAAGTATAATAATAAAATTTACTGGAGTTAATATTATAGACAAAATCTCCCACTCAAGAATAATAATTTTATTAATATGTATTAATCATGTTGATACGATAAATAGTACAAAAGAGAGTATTATTAGGATTTTAGGGCTATAAAGGCTAATTGACTTTTTAATCATGAAATAAGACATTCCTGTATTCTTGAGTCCACAACCCAGAGGTTTTTTAAAATTAATTGTTAAAGGTGCACGCACAAACACACACATACACACGCACACACACGCATATAAACGCATATACTCACAAATGTCTAACATCATTATTGCCGTCGTCATCTACGTCATCATCGTCACTATCTTCTCCATCATCATCGTCGTCGTCTTCATCATCTTCGTCTTTATTATCATCATAATCTTTTTCTTCGTCATCGTCACCATCATCATCTTCATCTTCATAACCATCTTTATCATCATCATCAACGCCATCACGATCTTTTTCTTCATCAACGTCGCCATCATCATCATCTTCATCATCATCATCATCTTTTTTTTTCATCATCGTCACCATCATCATCTTCATCATCATCGTCACCATCATCATCACCATCATCCTCATCTTCATGACGATTTCATTTTCAATTGCTCCTGTAAAATCAACATATTTTTTCATGAAAATAATATTTATATAATTATTGTTTTCAAAACATTTCTAGCTGGTTGTCGCCGAGTCGTCATCATCGTCGTCGTCGTCATCATCACCACAACAAACATCATCACCATTGTAATCACTATTTTAATCATCAGTTTCCTAATAAATCAGTATCATCCTCATCATCAATATCATCATCGTTATCATCTCAGTCATTAACTCATTCATCATCATCATCAACATCCTCTTCGTCATCATCATCGTCATTGTCATCATCACCATCATCATCGTCATCTTCTTACATCTGAGAGCAACATCATTATTACCAAAGCACACGACAATCAATCATTATTTTTCATCATCACCGCGTTATAATTATTGTCATTATTATATTATTATTATTATTATTGTTGTTATTATTATTATTATTGTTAATGTTGTTGTTGTTGTTATTATCGTGCTACTGATGTGACGAAATTGATGGCTATGCTAATTGTAATCTTCTTGATTAGTATAATACATGGCATCATCACCGTCGTCATCATCATCATCACCATCATCATCATCATTGTCGTCGTAACATCATTTTTACTATCATCGTAGATTATGATCACGTGAGCATTTTTATTGCCACCGTTAGAAATTTCAATCATCATCATCACTATTACTATCATCATCACTATCATCATCACTATCATCATCACTATCATCACCAGTATTACAAGCGTCAAATGGAGATGGCTAAGAAAGAATATCTGAAGCAACTTGCCATCTACCGATCCACCCTGGCCGCTAAGGTTGTCCTGATGACGATGGTGGTGGTGATGATGGTGGTGGTAGTGGCAATGATGGTGGTGGGGTGGTAAGGGCAATGATGGTGGTAATGATAATGATGGGGGTGGTATTTGTGATGGTGGTGTGTTGATGATGACGGTAATGTAGTTGATGGTGTTGATAATGATAATTATGGTGCTGGTGATGATGACGATGGCGTTCATCAGCACTTTTGATATCTCTGGCCGTCCCCCTCCCAGCTCGACAGCTGAATGTTTCTCACTCCAATTTTATTCTCCATTATTTCCACAATTTTTTTTCCTTTGCTTCAAAATTGACGGAAGTCCGACGCACTTTCGACCATCGATGCAAGGAAGCCACTGAAGTTCATTTTCGAACCTCACCACCGCCCATCCCTTCAAACGAACGAACGAACAAACAAACGAACAAACGAACGACAAAACGTTAAAAATGTTGGCAGTTATCGGAAATAATTTGGCTTAGAGCTTCTTCAAAAATATCTTCCGTGTTATCAACAGTCTTGTCATTATTGCCATATTTTTTATCCAAATCGCATACCTTGATTTCCCAATTTCAAAAAGTCTCTTGTTCGCCTCGCCACCAATTTCCAAGTCTATCCATAATTCCGACGCCCTGCCTCACTCATAATACTAAAATTCGCACGCCCCAACCAAGCAGGAATCACAAGCAATAACCTCGAACGGCAACGGCGGCGGTCCCACAACGACCACCCCCTCCGCGGAGACTCCGCAGAGTCTCGAGGGCAACGCAGACGACAAGACTAACGACGAAATAACGTCATCGACCACGGCCAGCAGCAGCAGCAACAACCAGAACAATCCAGACCTGTCTGCCACATCGGCAACAACCTCATCCACGAGCGGCGCAACCTCGCCAACGACAACTTTAACGGTTAACAACGCCGAGCCACAGGAACAACAACAACATTCGCCACTACAGATGTCGCCCATGAGTCACCAGCAGCAACATCAACAACAAATGATGTTAACGCAGCAAATGCAACAACATATGTTGCAACAACAAATGCAGCAGCAACAACATTCACATTTGCAACAACAACAACAACAAATCGTGTCGACAAAGCAGCACATATCAGATCAACAACGATTGCAGTTGTCACCGAATCGTTTCGTATTTATGCAACACTACCCGCCGCAACAACAACAACAGCAACAACAACAACATTTCTTCCAACAGATGTCACCCCAGTCTTACAGAGCAGCTCCACAACACATGCTGGCCCGCCACCACCACCAACATCGTCCATTCCCCCCTCCACCCCACCTCGATGACCATATCGGCCTGAGGATTCATATGCCCAACTACAACAAGGTGATCATACTCGCAGGGGTGATGATGATGATTAATATTATTATTATTATTATTATTATTATTATTACGACGATGATGATGATTGTGATGGGGATTATTATTATTATCCAATGACACACACATAATCACAAACATACACTCGGCCACAACACAGCCACACTTTTTCACGCACATGCACGCACTCTTTTACACATACACACAGAAAGAGGGAGAATGAGAGAGAGAGAGAGAGAGAAAAAGAGAAAGAGAGAGAGAAAGAGAGAGAGAAAGAGAGCGAGAAAGAGAGAGAGTGAGAGAGAGCCAAACACACGCGCGCACACGCACGCACACTTTTTTACACACACACACAGAGCCAAACACATACACCCACAAATAATGTGATAATAAGTAACGAAGGAATGATGATTCGATGAATATGTGATCGTAAACATTCATATTAATAATAATGCCAGGATTTTTTATTGTAAAAAAACATCACTAATGTTTTTTTTATTGACTTAGTCATCTTCCTCATCATCATCATCTCTATCATTACCATCCTTATCATCATCATCATCACTTCATCATCGTCATCATTTTCTACATCCTCTTCTTCATCGTCATCTTCATTTTCATCGTATCATCATCTTTATCATTATCAACCTCTTTTTCTTCTTTATCATCGTCTTCATCATCCTTGTTATCATCTTCATCGTCATCATCATCATCATCATCTTCTTCTTCTTCATCATCGTCATCATCATCATCATCGCCATCATCATCTTCATCGTCATTATCTTCATCAACGGCATCGTCGTGGTCTTCCTGGCAGCCAGCATTCATAAATATAATACAAGTTTATTGGTCTTCTTTTATCAGATTTTCTTCTATCATGAATTTATTTGTTGTCCTCATCGTCATCGTCGTCAAAGTCATTATCGTCATCATCATAGTCGTCATCACATCGTCATCATCATCATTGTTGATGCCACAACAAAAATAATGTTATCATCATCGTCGTCGTCTTCACTACCGCTTAATAACTATCATCATTACATGTATATATATATATATATATATATATATATATAGTTATTAAAAAATATCACCGCATTTTCCGCATTGTTGAGTTTGTAACTAGGTTTTTCATTTTTTCAAACAATTGTTTCATCAACATTATTCAATTTATTCGAATTAATAATGAAATTTTTAATTATTTTAGACTGCATTTTTCATATGTACTTTTACATAGAAGCTTTTTTTCGTAGCCTTTACCATCATCAGTGTAATAGAGTTTGTGATATTTTTATATGTTATAGTTGATCTGGTATTTATAGTATTTGTAACAAAGGAGCTCCAAGTTCCATTGTTTCTTTGTGTGAGTGATTTCTTTGTTGGTAGGATCGTTACAACTTGTTGTTGGATGTTTATTATTACAGGGTTTCTATTTTCTATCAATAAAGCCTTTGCCATTCTCATATTGCTTATATTATGGTTGTAATATAACACTTTGATATTTGAGTTTAATACTTACCTTGTTATTTTTATTTGGTGTGAATCCATTAGATTATTCTTTATTGCACCATTTTACTTATGCATTGTTAACCTTCTTGATAAAGTCGTAGTGGTAAATCCCATATATTCTGTGTTTCGGTGCCTACAACAATCAAAAGAATATACTAGATGACTGCTCTTCATTATCGGTTCTGGTTTAGTATTGCAATTGTTTTTAAGAACAAGGGATGGGGTTTGTTGTTCGTGTAATAAATCCTAAGTTTTAATTTATCATTTTCGTTGATAATTTTTACATTTACCGTTTACAATCCTTTTACAATATTATTTATTTTCTCATCGGTCTTATAAGCTGTCGGCATCGTATTTTTGTACACGAATGGATGAGTGAGTGAAGGAATGAAGAAGCGGACAAAAACGAATGACAAGAGAAACAAGCAGCGACACACACGTGTGAATAATAAACGAACAACCGAATTAATGGCGGAAGGATTATAAACGATCAGAAAATAAAACAAAAATGAAATATAGATGGCTTCCCATTAATTTTATTCTTTGTTCCGTAATTGAATGTAGGTTATAAGTAAATGATGGCCTCAAATTTATTTCCGGAACCATTTTTGACGTCTGAACGTTTGTTTAGTGAATGGGTATCTCAATTTTATTATCATCATCATTTGATAATTTTCCACTTCCATATAAACCAACGAATGAAGTTTTGATGTTCCAATAAAATTTGAATTCCTGTTTGGAGGAGATTTCTACTTGAAGTTCATCTTCTTATCGCGCCTCATTCGCCAATCCTGCGATCACGTGACGCTCTTGTTTAGGAAATTCAAACATCGTCATCGTTGTAATATAAGAATGAGGCGCAGGGCTATCATCGTCTTTGTTGTGTGTGTGACGTGCAAGCTGAACCGCGGTTCGTTCTCTGTTTGTTGATTCGTTTCTAATCTTTCTACAGGCTGCCTCGTTTCGCAACGATTTTGTAGTCTCTGTCGTTGACAGGTTTTATTCAGCCACATTGAGATGCATGTATTTTTTCACGCCCATGGAGTATTTAACTTATATTTAAACTCTAATTTATGCTGGATGTTAGTTTAATTTTTGTTCATTATAACTCAGAATTTAAGATACATGTGGCCATGCTATCATTATTTGCATTGTGTTCAATTTTCGCCAACAAACTCTTGTACTTGCATGCATTACATACAAACACGTGCATTACAAACAAACACATGCATTACATACAAACACGTGCATTACATACAAACACGTGCATTACATACAAACACACAACACACTGAGAATATGTTTGCTATTGCTCAAACATGCATACATACATAGAGTCATACAAATAAGCATGCATGCTATGATACAAAAACGCATGCTCACATGCAATCATACAAATATACATACATGCATAAACGCAATCATACAAACATGCATGCATGCACGCACGCAATCATACAAACATGCATGCATGCACGCACGCAATCATACAAACATGCATGCATGCACGCAGTCATACAAACATGCATGCATGCACGCAGTCATACAAACATGCATGCATACACGCAATCATACATGTCTACATTAAGCATATTATTCTCCGGGTCTTTATTTTAATCAATCAATTATTTCTTTGATCAAAAGACGCACGGAGGCCATTACAAACATATATAAATAAATTAATGAATGATTGCATGAAAGGTTCAATGAATGAATGAACGAACGAATGAATGAATAGAACGCTCGAATGGGTATATGTAATATTTGACGCATATGTATATGATATATATAGACATATTTTTATTCAAAATATATACACCATCATATAGAGAAGAAGGTGTTGATGGATTGTTGCACGGTAAACCAGACAAATAAGTTGACTTGTCTGACAGGTATATGGATAAAAAACATTAACTCAACCTACATACATGCATTGTGGGTGTGTTGTCGGTCGGTCAAATGGATGGATGGATAGGTGGAGGGACGGACGGACGGACGGATGAATGGATGGGTAGATGAGTGGATGGAATTATACCTGATCCCTTGACCGTTTTTAAAAGAGTAAACACGAAGTTTACAAATATTTTGAAAAGCACAATATTAATAAAATATTAATATTATTTACCACGACTAACGAAATCCTGCTTTAAATATTATTATTATTTGTCTTGCGTCACTGAAAAATGAATGCAAGATGAATGACAGATGGATAAATAGATGGATTGATGAAATTAATGATGAAATGAATAAAAGATAGAAGGAAAGAAGCGATTCGTCATAATTTATGTCAAATTTCCATTAAAAAGACCGTTCATATGGAATCAACAAATTGTTTGGTCATCCTCATCTTCTCTGCATGCCTTCTCTTTCTTCTTTTTCTTCTTCTTCTTTTCCCTCTTTCTTCTTCTTTTTCTTTTTCTTCTCCTTCTTCTTTTTCTTCTTTTCCTTCTTCTTCTTCTTTTTTTTAATGTTGTTGTAATGATGATTTTTTTTCAATTTTCGCTGATGTCACTGATGATATTGATGTAGGTAATGTTATTGTTTTGATTGAGGTTGTTGAAATTGATGTTGTCGTTGTTGATGTCGTTGAAGTTGTTTCAGCTGATGTCATTGATGATGTTGTTGTAGTTCAGTGGTTCTCAAACTTATTTCTACCACTGCCAACTTATAGGAAAAAATTTTTCTAGTGCCACCTCAGCTTTAAAACAATTCATTTGAAAGAAATGTAATAAAAGTTAGCTTAGTTAGAGTAAGTTGGTGTATGTTATAATAATAATGTATATTAGTCTCGTTTATTTTAAAATTATTTAAATTGTGAAAGAAAAAAAAACAATTAAATACAGTTTTACAAAGAAAGAGTATTTTTAAATCCAAGTTGAAACAAACAAACAATTGAGCAAAAGTGAATTTAATGTGATGGGTGAATTTGATAACTTTTTATAAGACTGTTAATATCAGGCCCAAATTTATTGAAAAACTTTCTTAAATCTCCAAGTTTATCAATTATCTCCAAGCTGTCACGGCACTCAATCCGCGCTCGCACAATTAGGAGCATGGAAATGCAAGCAAAATCGTTGGACAACTGACCACAATCCAGGGTACAACAAATGGACATGCTTTTTCAGCCAAATACATTTCCTTGCGTCTGGGAGATTTTGAGCTTTGTTCACAAACTGACAATAACGTTGATGGGTATCCGCATGGTAAGCATGGAACAAGATTTTAATTTATTCAAAGATATGGTTTTTGTAATTTCAGCAAAAAATGATCAAAACATAAACAGAAAATTTCTAAAGTTCTCAAATTGTGTTAAAACCTGTCACCGCCCCCCAGTAAAACCCGCCCCCCAGTAAGACCCGCCTCCCCAGTATCGTCCACTTTGAAAAACACTGTTGTAGTCGATGTTTTTTTTTCTCGTTAAATTGCATACGTTGATATCCTCTCCAATGTTACTAATGTTGTTTATGTAACTCTGACGGACTGTGCACGTGGTGGTGTGGTGTGGTTGATGGTGGTGTGGTTGATGGTGGTGTGGTGTGTTTGATGGTGGTGTGGTGTGGTTGATGGTGGTGTGGTGTGGTTGATGGTGGTGTGTTGTTTTCAAGATTTCTCCTATATTACTGACAAAGTTCTCAATTTAATGTTAATTTGAATTGTTATACTATTATTATTTCAACTGTATTTATAAATTATAAATGTTGTTGTTGCAACTTATTGTTGTTATTGTTGTTTTAGCTTTGGTACTTCCCAAATGTGTGTTCGGCAGGCGATGTTGCCACAGGTGAGGACGAGGATGACGATGAGGATGGCAATGTTTTGGTTGTCGATTTAGATTATAATTAGGCTGTGGCGAATGATGGTTAGCGCCGTGCTGATTTTTCCTGACATTTGAGGGTTGATGGATGAGTTTGTAGCCAGTCGGCTTATCGTAATTCTCTCTGCTTAATGACAAATTTAATAATATTTACGCAAGTTACGACGCTGCGATCGCAACCACCTTCGCTGTTTTCAATCTCCATTCTTAACACCTTATTTTCTTATTTTCTAAAATGCTGGCGTTTTTACTTCCACCAGACTTTCCACTCCTCCAACCACTGCATGCACGCTGCTGCACTTCCGTTCAGCACCTAACCCCATCTCACCAAGGCATCTTTTGACCTGAGCTCTCACTATAATTTCTAATATAGCAAACTTGTATTAAAAATGTTTCCATTTAAATCGGGTTTTCCTTTATTTATTTCCTTTATATGAGTTTACTCGTTTCAGACTATTTTAACTTACAACTTTTAATTTCTTTTCAAATGGTTTCGCAAACCTACAAAGTTTTCAACTGTCCGAACACGTCACAACCTACCTGACATCATGTCACAAGCATCATGTCGCAATTTAATACATCAAAAGGTCGATCAAACAATATATCAATGAAATGTTTGTAACAGCTTATTTTCTTAATTATATCCATTTATTTTATTATATTCAACTTAATTATTTATTTAATTATTATTATATAATTTTGTTATGCTATTTACACACTAGTAATTGTGGATTCGTTTGTACGTCTATGTTATGCGTTTAATATTTCATGTAGTTTTTGAAGCTGTACTGTAGTATATATTGTACATTTGTAAAACCTGACCATGCAGTTACTGATTAAACACGGAATAATTAATTCGCATGCGTGATGAATTTTCTACTTTAAATAAACAAACAGGTGTCTCGAATGGACGAGCTGTTGATGACTTCCCAGCACCAACGACCGCCAACCAACCAACACCACCAACATCAGCAACAACCAACTTCTTACCTGCCATTCTCTGTCGAACCAGGATATGAATTTGTTCACTATGACTCACCCTATATGGTTTCCAATGTAAATAGGTAAGAACATTTTTAGTTTGCAGACTGGCTAGCTCATTAACTGGTTAGTTTGCTGGCTGGCCTGTTGGCTGGTTGGCTTGCGTGCTAAAATGACTGACTGGCTGGTTGGCTGGTTTGCCAGATAGATATCTATTCGGCTGGTTTGCGGTCTAGCTCATTGGCTGACTTGCTGAATGGCTAACTGACTAGCTGCATGGCTGGTTTTCTTGCTCGGTAGTTGACTGATTGGCTAATTTGACAACTGGATAACTATTTGTTGATTTAGCTAAAAGAATAATTTATTAAAACGCAAAATTTTTCCTAAATTGAATGTTGATTAATTTTTATACAGAAACCTTGAAATGTGTCCAGAAAAAGAGCTGCTTGCCAGGTCGAAGATATCATAAGAACAGTGCCACAGTTGCACATTGTATCGTTAATACTACACCATATCTTATACATGTTATTTAAGTTTCTGTCACATGACTGACTAACTAACTGTATGATAGGTAGGTTCTAGCGCGCTGCACGGGTATCACTGATACCACTGATACAGGAAATTTCAGTTTGAAATGGTGTGCCATACAAATAGTATTTGAAATGGTATGCCATACAAATAGTATATGACGCAACAAGAATTCGATTTAAATTTTTTGCGATTTATATCCTTCAAAAATTGTAAATAATGTTGAACGTTTTACTTTGCAGCAACAGTTAGCACCGCGCTGAATAATTATTATTTATTTCACAAGGTAATTGATTGATTCGTTCATTAATTAGTACGACTAACTGATGATTTTTTGTTCGGTTAATGGTAAAACAATTGAAACTAATTAATCGCAAAGTTATATGCATTTCTCATTGCTCGGTAATTTATTTTAATTAATGCAAAAAATTAAATGAATTATAATAATATGTTAATGTTATTATCAATTCTTCTACTGCTACTGCTAATTTTTAATGTTCCAACATAGATAATAGCGAAACAAGTTTATTTAACGAAAAAAAAACAATTAATTAAGTAACAAATTTAATTATCATTATTATGATTTTAATTAAGTATGGACATTATAAACAATGAAATAATTTTTTTATTTCTATGCCAACGTTGAAATAATTAAAGTTTATAATTATTTAAATATATTAATTTTCACCGATTAATCCATCCATCTATTGATTAGTTTTAAATAATTTGTTAAATAATTTATTAAATAATTGCATCTATAATGGTTATTAAGACAATGTAATTATAAATGCAATTGTTAAGGCAAGAGCTGAGATATAAATCTCTTTCAATATTAGTCCTTTCATGTTTAATAAATTTTAAATAACGTGGGTAAATTTGAATGTCTGTCTGTGTCTGTCTGTCTGTCTGTCTATGCATGCCTGCCAGCGCGATGATGTTTGCTTGTTAGTATCGCATGTAGTTGGCCCTACCAGCCACAACTTATTTGCTATATATAGTACGAGATTAAATGACTTCACTGAAGTTAAATTATTCATTCTATCTATTACGACGAATTGTATATATTGTTAGATGCTATCTGGATTCATTTTATTAGCAAAGATTTGTCTACCTACAACTTGTTCACACTGATGAATGTTGTACAAAGATTAATGTTGTGCACTGATGAATGTTGTACAAAGATGAATGTTGTGCACTGATGAATGTTGTACAATGATGAATAATGTTCAATGATGAATGTTGTTGTACAATATCATATGATGGACATCATCATCTTTTCAGTCGCCTTCGTTCGATGATGAGACGGATTCCTAATTTCAAAATAAAAAACCAAGTGTGGAATATTTAATTATTGCTGTGAAATATTCTGCATGAAATGATGCCTATTTATTAACATTGTTATCTCGGTTGCACGGAGCATTTTTTGTTCTTCAACATTTTTTCCAGCATTGTTTTTCAACATAGTCTCAAACAATCTCATTTTGTTTCAACAAAAACATTTTTCTGAGTTCATTCTATTTATTTTTTATTGTTTATTTCACCGATTTAATTTAAAATGATGTACGATTGAAGTTGTTTTTAAAAATTTTTATTATGTGCTTTCCAAAATTAATTTTTGAGTTTTTTCAAATAAATAATTTAAAAAAATGTTTATTTATTTTCAAAAAATTTATTTAATTTGTTTTGTTGGCTGTAAATTTGAATTAAAAATGTTCACAGAAATCTCTTCAGTCCAAGTTGATGTATGTATGTTTCAATGTTTCTTGTTTCTGAGAATTCTTTATAAAGATTCTCTTGAAGATTAAAAATTTTTGACTAAACATTTCCACTAAAAATAAATTTAAAATGAATTATATTTTTATAGTTAAGACGCAAATAAACTAAAAATAGGAATAAAAGAGTTATATAATGTTTTCAATCTTCCAATTTACCTTGTACACGCATAAGCGGATGTTTAACGAGCTGAATAATAAATAAACATTGATAAAATAATCCAGCGAAGCATCTTTGAAAACATCAAGGTATCTACTTAAACTACAGTTAACATCAAAATTTGTGATTATTTGCTCCCAGTTGAAATTAGATGGAATGTTTTTAATTTTACAAACATTATAATTTTTTAAATTATTTTTAGATGAAGATAAATTTTTAGAAGCTTCATTACAAGTTTTCATCAAACAAAAAATTAGAAAATGTTCAGATAAATCAGAAATCTCTACACCACAGTAATGAAAAATATTGCTATATGTTAAAACGTTATCAATAATAATTGTTGAAGAACAAGTTTTATTTCTGGTAGATAAATTATTAAAAGGCATGAGTTTGTAATGTGAATACAACATTTCAATAATCAGTTTATTTTTTGAATCAGTTCCAAAATCTAAACTTTAAGTCAGTTTATTCATTATATCTATGGTGATGTTGCTGGTTTTTAATTGATATTCCGTCATCTTGCTCATTAACAAAATTTGTTTATTAATTCCTGGCATTCTGCATCCATCTTGCAACACATTACAGGTTATACAAGATTTTAAGATTTGTTTAATTCTTATGTTCAAGAAATCTTACTTTCTCAATGATCAACATTCGGTGGGGCTAACAGCTTTACTTCGAACAAACTCAAATTCCTTAGAACCTTAGTCAGCGTAAAAGATTTTGGTTCAGCATTATAGTTGGTCTTCTATTTGCGGAACAACCTTAAAGTTTTGATGTTGACTAATAAATATATTACATTTAAATACATTCTAAAAAAATATATGTGTATATAATAAAAGCAATTAATTTATATATATTAAATTTACCTAGCATCAAAATCATCTAATTTCTCTTGTAATTCATCATTAAATAATTTTTGATTTTTTAACTCTTCTAATGCAACTTCATACTTCTACATCGGCCTTGATTGTTTTCTTGTTGAACTGCATGGGAATGTAATTTGCGTTAAGGCAGGAACGATGACTCTTCAAAAATCAAAAAGCATCATAATTCTTCGTTATTAAAGGGTATTTAGCATATTATGATGCTCCATAAAGCTATCGGAATCCATCGATGATACACCGCTCCTTGTTCCTAATATTAAAAACATTTATTTTAATGATGTTGTGCTGATGATGATGAACTCAAAAAACAGGTTATCAAACATTTTTTATTTCAAAAAATAAAAAAAACACTTCCAACGAATTTACCTCAAGTTTGGATTTTTGGACGAAGTTTGAATTGAAGAAATGAAATAAAAATTAAAACATTCAATATTATCCTTAAATGATTTTTATAACAGCAAACGAACAATGCTAGCTAGATCAATGAGCTCTAAATGTTAAGACACACAAACTGTTTCTGTACTGTTTGTGTACTGCTTCGTTTTTATTCACACCCCGCACTTACTTTTCATAACAGTTGAACGCTTCATTGTAAGACCTATGCCAACAATTTCAATTTTTCCGACAACATTATTATTTGAATTCGACAATAACATTTGTTAACAATTCATTAGACCAATAGACGAATCTACAAGATGTACCAAATTCACTTACTGATGATTTTTATAAGTGTATAATTCATTGAAGAATGTAACGATTTGGCCTGAGTGGTAAACCTTATAATAATATATTAGATAAACAAAACGACAAAACACCATGCGTTAATACACTCGTGATGTTTTGATAGGTTATATTTGGTAGCACTTTTTAAAATGCCACCATGATATGGCATCAAAAATAAAAACTAAAACTTATTGATTTAGGAAAGAATTTGAAAATATTAACTTCAATAAACCAGGCAACAATTTTAATATAATTAAAAAATTTGGGTCTATTTTAAATCTGTTCATCTGTTTTAACCAGATATGAAAGGCTAACTTGCCTGGGTTACCATCAACTATATTGGATTTTATAAATGTCTTATATTTTTTTATATCAAGTGGCATTTTTTCAATGATATTTGTTTGGAAAGTTATTTATTTTAGTTATTAATTAATTTATGCTATTGTTTAAGATTTTCTTTTCTTTTCGCAGCTGACAGTTATTGTTGACTTTTATTACTCTTTCAGCTCATTCAGCCTGCTCTGACATTTCAACAAATGATTCAAAAAAAGCTTTAATTCTAGTTTATTTTATTTGTTTGTACATTTCCGTTTTATTCGTTCGGTTGTTTGTTCGTTGGTTCGGTCGTTTGTTCGGTCGTTGGTTCGTTCGTTTGTTTGTTTCGCAATAACATAATGTTCAAACAATCAGTTTTTTAAAGCAGACTACAACGAAGAAAAATAAAAGATCACAAACAGGTTTCAACAAAAGTTACGATAGAATAACACAAACTCATGGCTAACCAAATGTAAGAAAATCTTTCGCCAAATTATTTTGCAGAAAATGAAGACTGAAAAAGTTTCGATTTTCGATCAACTTTATAATTTAAAAAATGAATGTAAGTAAATTATTTATATTATTAATTAAAATATTCCTAAGTTAGTATACAAACTACATAAAGTCAACTGTTATAATTATCGATAAAGGATTTGACGATTAATTTAGGCTCACCTGATTATTAAACAAAAGTTTGTCCGATAAGTTTTTATTGGTTAATGAGAAACTGTAAAAAGCCCATTCAAAGTTTAATTTGATCTTGCGATTGAAAGATTTATTGAAAATAAAGAAACATTGTTCAAACAATTGAGCATTTTTGAACAAAAACATATATTTTATCGTGAAATGAATGTCACACTTAGAAAGTAAAACGTGAACTCAAACAATCAATTAGAAACAACTGATTCGTTTCGAACAATTAAAAAGTTCTATTCGGCAGTCACCTGACGAGCATATGTTTGATTGTTGAATAAAATTCACCAGTGTGTACTATCTCGATATAGTAGAACTATGTTATAGAAACTCTTATTACTTTTGAATGAACGATTTTCCTATAAATATTCGGCAAGTTTTTCAGTAGCACAAAGTTTGAAAACAAATTTCAAATATTTATCTGAATTTGAATTTATAAAACCGCAAGAATGAGCTCAGCAACTGTGCTTTTGTTCAGTTTGATGTGCTCTGCGATGGTCGGTTGCCTCGTTGAAGCCACACCACTGCCTCCCGAAGAACTTCAAGATGGAGCTCTGGTTGGGTTTCAAAATTTAATCCTTATACATCATTTTGATTTTTTTGTCATCAAATGTTAGTGAATCAGTTTGCTAACATTTTGTTAAATTTCCGAATTATAGAATTACTTGAAAAGATTTGGCTACCTGAAGGAAGGAAATGAGCACGATCAGGTAAGCCTTGAAGATTCCATCAGAGCAATGCAAACTTTTGCAGGCTTGAATGAAACTGGTTAGCTGGTTCATATTTACTTTGTTCAATTTATGCAGGAAATGTTTATAACTACAAAATACACTTCAAATTAATTTTCTATTCAAAACATTTTATTGAAACCTCACACAAAGGCGTTCTTGACAAAGCAACACTTGCAATGATGGAGACTCCGAGATGTTCCATGCCTGACATGGACTCAAGCGAAGGCAGAGCAAAACGATTCGCTATTGTTTGTAAGTTTTGTTTAGTTGTATATAAAACAACATAATGAATATATATATATATATATATATATTCATATAAAATTTAAGCCAAATGGAGAAAATATGTTTTGGACTACAAAATATTTAACTACCCAACAAATGTTTTGGACTTGGTTCCAGAGGATATAGACCAAATCATTGCCCAGGCATGGAGGGTGAGTGTTACAAATCTTATTTATAAATTAATTTTAATTACTATCTAATTTTTGACTAAACAAAGCAATGACTGTAATCACCACTACACAGATTTGGTCTGACAAAGCAAAGAAACTTTCGTTTCCTATTTCAAGCTCCCAAACTCCCACCATAAGCATTCGATTTGTGGGAGGAGATCACGGCGACAAATATCCATTTGATGGACCAGGCAAAATTTTGGCTCATGCTTTCTATCCACAAAACGGTAATGCCCATTTCGATGATTCAGAAACTTGGAGTGACGGACAAGAAAATGGTTATTAATTTTCACTTACTATTAATTTTAATTATTTCAATTTTAACTTTTCGGTCCAACAAATCGAAAATTTAACAAACTCTAACATGGATATGCTCGTAATCACAAATTTGTTTAGCAATTGATAGTAACAAACACTTTTCAATTCTTAGGAAAAAATTTGGCCTGGGTAGCCTCCCATGAATTTGGTCATGCTCTCGGCTTAGGACACTCCACTGTTTCGACAGCCCTGATGTACCCATACTACACTGGCTACAAAGAAATTGTTCTCGACAATGATGACATCAATGGAATTCTGAGCATTTATCCCAACTGAAATGAACCTGGAGATAGAATTATTTAAATGTGAACATTGTTTGATTATTATTTTAAACTCCTATTATCTTTTTGTTAAATAAATATTTTTTCTGCATTTTAATATTTGTCGGTTTCAAATCAAACACTTAATAAATATAACTACTGATAAATTTGAAGGCGAACAATTTACAAACGAATTTATTCGTATTTTTCGTTTCAAAGTTTTTAAATGTTAATTGGAAAGTACGTTTATATATAATTGATCAGCATAATTTTGTTATCACATTTAAAAAATCAGTAAATCTTAGGACTGAATAAATGTTAATATAATAAACGAAATTCAATTCACTAAGATTATATTTTTTTTTGAATTACGTTAAATATAAGTGAATAATTTTTGTTAAGCAGTTTGCAATGTTGAAATTACTTCAAATTCTTTTGTTAACTGGGTCACAATGATTGTGCTACGAAACGGACAGTGGCGTAGCGACTAAAAAATTCAACTTGGACAAATTTCTTGTTAGCGCCCCTGGACCAAAAAAATTAAATTTCTAATTGAATCAATCCAAAACTAAGTTATATATGTTCAATTATTTTAAACTGTGACAAACATGTTAATAATAAAAAAGTAAATTATACAAATACATTAACTCTGATCATATAAATGTCAAAAATTTGTAACAAAAAATCATGTTTAAAAACAATAAAAGAAATATATTTCTTTTTATTTAAAAAGTGAAATTTAAAAAAATGGTGATAAATTTCATTAGATGTTAACTTTTCTGGCATTTGCTGAAGCAAACTCGTTGATTATCTCATCAAAGTTTGACTCAGTGTAGCTCTTAAGCAATTTAGTTTTTATTTTAAATTACTGAATGATCGCTCACAAGTAGCAGTGGATACACTTATAGTAAATAAAATTTGAAGAGCAACTCGTAAATTAGGAAAAAAGCTTTGGTCTCCGTATTCGATAAGATATTTAAGAAGATCATCTGATGTTGAAATTTTTGTTTTACGTGTAAATAGTAGCATTCAGATATTTCGAGATATAATTCAGTACATTCAATATATGAATTGTAAAATTCCGCTAAATGCAAACATTTTATTTTCAAATTAGCATTTTCTTTATTATATAAATTTTTCAAACCAAGAATGAACCCGAATTTTCGATCAGCTTCATTTAGTCGTGCAAACCTGAAAAATTGATGATCGAAAATCGTTCAAACACTTATAAGATAAAGCATGTTATTAAAAAAATTGCCTTTTAAGATAAAATAAATTTATTTAGGCGCATAGATTAGATACAAAAGACCACTAATTTATATTTATTTCCAAATCGAGTATTCACAAACTAAGGTATATTTTAGCTAAATTGATTACTTTGACCAAAATATAATATTTTGTTTATGTTTGTAAATGATTTTAATAATTTTTGATTAGATAATATTTTTTATAGAAAAACTTCAAAAGGTGCCCCTCTGATGGCGCCCCGGGCAACTGCAAAGGCTGTTCCCTCGCTTCGCTACTGGAAGACACGTGATATCAGTCATACAAAGTACAATGTCGACATTTCAAATCATCTGTGCAATTGGAAAAAGTTAATGTAATAAAAATGAATGTAAAAACAAGATATTTGAAAAAAGTTGTTTGTTTTAAATGAATAATTAGAAAACAACAAATGAAATTTAATATGCCTAATCTTTTATAATGTTAATTTGAAAAATGATAGAGCCAAATTTATTGAAAAGTTTAAGTTGATCGAATTGAAACAGAACTTCCATTTGACATACAGATTGAAGGTTAGAAAAAATACGTACATGTACATTTTGATTTTATGAACCTTCTAAAGGTAATATATTTTTGTAACGTGTGCTTATTGAAGTTCCGATGAGAATACTATTTTCGATGTAAGGCCTCCCCCCTACACACAGCCCTGGATTATTTCGGCAGCACATTCGAATGATTCAACGTGAGTAAAAAATTTTAATTTTGCTAAAAGTCATGTGTTGAAAGTGGCGGTAAAAACCGTACAATTGAATTTTACTTGCGCAAATTTAAATAAACTTGTTAGGTTGACACGATAGTATAATCACCAAATTCAGAAAAGAACGAAAAATTTTTCTGAAATGGTAGTTGATAATAAATAAAAGTTTCACGGCTCTTGAGATTTAACTTCACCGACAGTTTATGCATTTAATAGTTTTTTTGTTATTTAAAAAAAAATAAACATAGCCATCTTGAGAAGAGAGCAGGTGTTTAATGAATGGCAGTGAAACTACAGAAGAATGTAAGTTCCACCAAATGGTGCTTATTTAGTTTAAAATTGAGACATCATACCACTATACCATTGTGGAAAGATTAAACTTTCATTAATTGACGACTTGATACTAGAAACAAATAGCCTAAATAAAAAAAAAGACAAACTAGTGATGAGAAACGTTGTCAATAATATCATTGCTTTTAAAAAGTTAATCATAGTTTGACATGGAGATATAATTAAATATAATTTATATTATATATATTTAAATATAAATTTAATATAAACAAATAAATAAAATATAAATCAATATATAATATATTCATGTACGTACATTGTTTATGTGTTAAAATTTTATAGTTAATTTTGTGTTGCGGGCATAGGGACATTTTGTATTCGCCCATGTTTTTTCATAATAATAATATAATTTATAATACAAAAAATAAAGAATACATGCTAATTTAATCAGTGCTGAATAAATTAAAAAACAGCAAACTGCATACAACAAAAACTCTGAGGCAGCTATAACGCGTGAATGGTAAAACAATAAGAACAACTTCGGGCTCAATGTAAGAAAAATAATTACCCTGTCATGATCTAATGAATCCGACGTAACTGCTGGTTTATGTACCACAAAAGATTTTCGCACCAAAAAAATTTTCCTTTTGATTTTCATGAGGCCGAGAATTCTAAAACTCAAAAATAAAAGTCTTAGCCCAATGCAAACACTAACAAAATGCAGCGCAAAAAATCAGAAGCATAAACAAAGAATATTAAAATATGGTCGCTGACCTAATGGTAAGCACGCAATAGACATCTCTAAATAATATAATGCTAATCTTTCTCTCTCTCTCTCTTTCTTCCTTTCATAATCTCTTGATTTTCTCTTCCTTAATCTATCGACTTTCTACCCTTCTAAATTGATTTAACATGTCGAATTTAAGTAAGAAAAAATAATTATGAGTTTGAAAGCCTCAGTGAGCAATGGAAGGAAATTTACTATCTCATTAAAAATAGGCAAATTAATTCAAGCAATTTTTGATTATTTACATTCGTCCGTGCCACTGTTAGTTTTTAATAGCGATAAACGCAAATTTGCTCACAAAGATAATTTTACTTTGTTGCAAATTAAACATTTTTATCTTATTTTACCAAATCTACATTAATAATTAAACATTTTATCTGGTAATATTCGGTGTCAAATATTAACGAAAATATTTATTTATTATTGTATCCAATCAGCCTTTTAAACAACTTGTCCCAAATAGAACACTTTATTTTAGATTTTGTTTAGCAATCAAGTTTAACAACAAACGATCGAAACTATGACGGTGAAGAAACTTACAAGACACTTTCAAAACAATTGACACGCCATCAGAACAATTAAGACACATCTACAAACGACGAGTTTGAACATATTTATAAAGATTGAGCATCTTTTATGAAAAACGTGGACTAAAAAATCCAAAATTAAAATCAATTGAGTCGTTTCGAACTATAAAGAAAATTCCATTCGGCTCTCACCTGACGAGCATCTGTTTGATTGCTGAATAAAATTCAACGGTGTGTTCTATCATGCCTATAGCAGAACTATGTTATAAAAATTCCTATACCTTTTGCCCAAACGAATTCCCTATAAATATTCGGCGAGTTTTTCAGTAGCAACTAAGTTTGAAAACAAATTTCAAATATTTATCTGAATTTGAATTTATAAAACCGCAAGAATGAGCTCAGCAACTGTGCTTTTGTTCAGTTTGATGTGCTCTGCGATGGTCGGTTGCCTCGTTGAAGCCACACCACTGCCTCCCGAAGAACTTCAAGATGGAGCTCTGGTTGGGTTTCAAAATTTAATCCTTATACATCATTTTGATTTTTTTGTCATCAAATGTTAGTGAATCAGTTTGCTAACATTTTGTTAAATTTCCGAATTATAGAATTACTTGAAAAGATTTGGCTACCTGAAGGAAGGAAATGAGCACGATCAGGTAAGCCTTGAAGATTCCATCAGAGCAATGCAAACTTTTGCAGGCTTGAATGAAACTGGTTAGCTGGTTCAGATTTACTTTGTTCAATTTATGCAGGAAATGTTTATAACTACAAAATACACTTCAAATTAATTTTCTATTTAAAACATTTTATTGAAACCTCACACAAAGGCGTTCTTGACAAAGCAACACTTGCAATGATGGAGACTCCGAGATGTTCCATGCCTGACATGGACTCAAGCGAAGGCAGAGCAAAACGATTCGCTATTGTTTGTAAGTTTAGCAGCATATAAAAAAACCCTATATATTTATTTATTAATATTTAACGATATTTGCATCAAAGAAAACCTCGTTCCAAAATATATATATATATATATATATGTAAAAATTTACTTTTCTCAAATATTGTTATATGTTATATTCTATATATATATATATATATATATACATATATATATATAGTCTCGTGAGAGACAAAACGAACGTCTGGTTTATGGCAAGTGATGGTTTACCAACGTTACCTCTTGCGACTAAATGGGTCCTTAAATTTTGTAACAACGCGTTTTTAACTATTGGTCGCGACACCTTAATTTGCGTTTCTTAGTTACAATAAATGAGTTGAGTCATTTTAAGTCTTATTCGGCTGTCTACTGACGAATCTCGTGAAAGACAAAACGTACGTCTGGCCTATGGCGGTTTAAAAAAAATACATTTAAATATAATTCACAAAAAAATTTATTTAAGCCAAATGGAAGAAATTTGTTTTGGACTACAAAA